ATAAGTGTTTTGGCACTGTACCTGTCTCTATTCCTCAGTTCCTTGTCTGTAGAATGGGCAAACTCTATTGAGATGCTGTGAAGATATGTAAAGTACTTACAGTGGTACACAGTGTGTAATAAGCACTTAATAAACACTAGTAGTTATGAACATTATTCCCATAGACATATAAGGAGACTACAAAAAGCTTATAGGAAATTGGATTAAAAGATAAATTTATTTTGGTGAAAAAAATTGAAATTCAAATATATGAGAAGCCTTCAAATAGCTCACAGAGGGGCGAGCATGGTAGTGTAGTGGATAAAGCTACTGCCTGCCATGTTGGCATCCCACATGGGTGCTGGTTCATGTCCCAACCATTCTGTTTCTGATTCAGGTCCCTGCTAATGGTCTTGAAAAAGCAGCAGAAGATGCTCCAAGTGTTTAGGCCCCTGCCACCCACATGGGAAACCTGGGAAGCTCATGGCTTTGGCCTGGCCCAGCCTAAGCCACTGAGGTCGTGTGGGGATTGAAACAGCAGATGGAACAACTCTCTGTGTCTCTCCCTCTCTCTGACTTTCAAATAAATAAGTAAATCCTTTTTAAAAATGTTCATGGAAAATGCATGTTATGAAAAAGTTATGCATGAATTTCAAAAATTTTTCCACCAAAATAAACTTATCCTTTTATTCCACTTTACATGAGCTTTTTTGAAGTACCATCATAGACTTTATGAACATACATTGTTTTGATCATATACAGCAGTAGCAACGGATCTTCGTCCTTAGGCTATCTCTTGTCCAGTACAATTAAGTCTTTCTAGAGAATGAAGGTTTTCCCAGAGTTCTTTGGGCAATCAGGAAACGATCTCCTATACACCAAAACCCCAGACCTCCAGATGCTCAGCCAGGTCTCAGCTCCAGGGTAGGAGTAAGCAGAGGTAAGGTCGAAGCCACAATACCAGTTATAACTCACCATCATGTTTCCTACAGAAATTTAAAACTGTCAATAGGTAAAAGGAAAGATGTACATCTGCCCGTGGAGGGGCTGTGCCTCTGAACGGTAAGAGAAAGCTCACGGCTGACCGAGAGCCATCCCTATCATCCTTGCAGCACACTGCTGCAAGGCAACCGAGGCACGCTGACTTGCACTTGGTCAGCACACCAACATAAATCCAGGCGCATATGAGACGGTGTGACCTCACTCTGGGACGCGAGCCAGAGGTTTCACTTGAGATCTCTACAGTTATCAGATCTGGAAAGCTTCACTTGCTTTCTCTTTTAGCCCATTTTTAGCAAAACAAAAGGTAGCCTGACCAGAAGAGGCAAGGAGGTAAAAATCAGAAATGGTCCATATTCCATTACCTTACGTTACCTGATGGAGAATAAATATTCATTGTTCCATGGTTTCAATAGAAAGTAAACAGCACTAAAAATTTTATCTGATCTTCGTCATGTTTTAATCTCTTTCTTTTCTCTTGTATCAGAGAAAGAATATTAATGCTTCCTGACCAACGGATATTCCTCTAATACAACCGCAATCAATCCCTGCCCAACCCTGATTCCTTGTGTATCTTTGTACTTTTTCTCTTTCGCTCCTCCATCAGACTGCTTCAATCCATGGACCATGATGCAGCCCAGCACTTTACTATATACTTCCCGGTATGCCTTAGGGGACAAGCTCAAACTGCACTTATTGGAGCTGTTGTTCTGACACTAACTGGCTGAACGATCCTAGGCAAATATTTTCATTTCTCTGACCTCCATTTCCACATCTGTAAAATGAAGTTAATCTCTACAGCCCCTCACCACCCAGGTTCTCACCAGGTGTTCAAGTGTGCAGAGAAGCACAGAATCCTGGGAGGTCAGACCTACTCGCAGCACATGGGTGGAAAAGCTCTGAGGAAGTATGTGTGCTTGGCAGCAGGAACTAAGCTAAAATATGACTGTGAAATAAAAATACTTCTGTTATTCCCAAGTACAAATGAAAGATGTGAACACACACAAGGACAAAGGAGAATAATTGAGGCTGGCATTGTGGTACAGCAGGTTAAGTCACTACCTGCTACACCAGTGTCCCATATGAGCCCCAGATCAAGTCCCACTGCTCCACTTCCAGTCCAGCTCCCTGCTAATGCACCTGGGAAGGCAGCAGAGGATGGTCCAAGTACTTGGGTCCATGCCACCCACAAGGGGGACCCTGGTGGAGTTCAGGCTGGCCCAGCCCCAGCCATTGTGGCCATTTGGGGAGTGAGCCAGCAGATGGAAGACCTCTCTATCTCTGTAACTCTGCCTTTCAAATAAATAAAATAAATCTTAAAAAAAAAAAAAGGGCAGAGAAACTAGTAGTGTGAAGATGACCTAAACTGTTCTTTTTCCAGTGCAGTGTATTTTTGTATCCACTGCAATTGGAAAAGGAAAATTAAGAAGATAGGTTGTTTTTAAAGGACTGCACAAGTTGTTAGGTACTACAAAGCACAGGCAAGCAGTAAGTAGCATTTCAATTGAATTCAACCTGTTTCTACTGATTCTTTTCAGGAAAATTCAAGCTGATGCTCAAAGTTCTACTCTGCTCCCTGCACCACATTTAGCGAACACCCTTGTGTCAATACCAAAACCTAGAAGTTCAGAAGAGCAGAGGCAGCTCTGATGACCGCACAGCCTTGAAGAATTTAATCAGTTAATGTTTCAGGACCTACGCCTCAAACATTGACAGCTCACAATCAATATCAGAAGTTAGGTTGTAAAATGGATTTTTTTTCCCTTGAATTTGAGACCCAGAAGCCTGTATTGCTTGACTTCCCTGGAAAATTTCCAGATTGGCATTGGGCTTTCAGCTTTGTGGACTGGACTTCACTTCTTAGAGACAACAATAAATGGTCTTGCTATTAGCTATTCAGTCGACTTTTCAGAGCAATTTAGGTATTCCTTGAAAAGAAGCTTCTGCTGTTTCCATCATGTTCATTTATTTTCAATTTTTCCTTTATGTTCTTCGTCTTAAGTCCCCAGACTCAGTGGTGTGCCTCCGTGCTCAGGGAATCTACACATGAATGCTTCCACAGACAGACGGGTAAGTACCATCTCATGGTGCCCATACCTCTCCAAGAAAAAAGTACCCAAAACAGCATAGTAGTCTCATCCCCTCCAGCACTGTGACAATTCCTGCGGGGGGTAGTTTGGCAACAGCAATTCTGCACCATGATAAATAAATTAGAACCACCAATAATGCTTGACAATGCAATGAAGTACACATTCTAATGGGCCCTTCTTATACACATATTACATAAAATCAGACAAATTATGCTTTGCAAGCCAGTAGCAAAACAAACTTTGTTAAACCATTTTGTGAAATCAATGCTCTTTTTTTTCTTCAAGATTTAGCATTTCCCCAAACTCAGTATCTGTTCCAGAAGTGTGACTCTGCAAAGACATAGGAGATTTTCTTAAAAAGCTGTGGCTCTCATCAGCTCTGTAAGTTAGTCTCTAAGGACGCAGGGTACCTGAACATTTGTTAATGGACAACATTTAAGAAATCTTTACTAAAGTGTTTATCATAACTGGATAGCTTTTATTTTCTTGAAGAATTAAATGAGAGTTAGGTATTATTATTATCACCATTAACCTCTTTGAAACTTCAGGTTCAAAGAAGTTAAAGTCAAACTACAAGCAAGTGGAAGAATTCGGATTTGAACCCAGGAGATCAGCCCCCAAGTTCTTAGTTTCTCTGAGGTACCACCCTGGTAGCAGTACTGGAATGCCTTGCTTTAAAAGTAGAGTGGTGAAAAGAACTTACACATTGTTTGCCCTAGGAAACATCCTGTCATGAGGTCAGGCTAATATGAGTCTAATCTTATGAAATTTGGCCCTGGAAACCCCTAGAGGACCTGAACGTGTGGATTCCTTTGCCTGCAGCACAGTGTCCAGAAGCAGGGTTATGGTGAACATTCCTCTGAAGTTGGGCTCATGAGAGCTCTTGGCCATCTACCCACTCATCCACCTGCTTTCAGTTATCTGGAGATATTGCTCCTCATGGACTGTGCACATACCAAGAGTCAAGGCCATCGATATTTACATCTCATGAACCTGAAGGTCAGTTCAAAAGTGTACCAGTTATTTATGGGAATGCTTGAGTCACCTACTGCAGATGGGAGGAAAGGAAGTGCCTGGAACTGTTCCCATTTTATCATAATGATTTCTAATAAGAGACATCTACTGCCAACCACCAAGACATTCCACGGTGAACAGTGAAATTAATGTTTTCAATGTAAAAATATCACTTGTGGTACTCAAATTTTTTGAATGTAATGTTATCAACAAGAAGTCAGAAGACCCTACCACAAAAAAATGCCATGGAACCTCTAGACAGTAAGCACTACCAAAGTGATGTTATACTTTAACTTTTAGCAGGATTTTTGCTCGTTATGCTGTATATAGCATTTTTAAGTATGAAAATAAACAAAGCATAGAAACCTGTATTGAGAAGCACTGGTAATGAAACAAACCATCTGAACATTATCAAATGTCTTAATCAACTGTCCTGTATTTGCTTGCAATATGAAAAAAATCCATCTCTGAGGCCATTTAGACCCTTTTGCCCTAAATACACATACACAGAGTTAGGAAAGAAATCCTGTATCCATTTTATCAATAATTTATTTTATCAGTGAACTGTACTTCACCCCAGTTCACTGAAAATTTGCAACATCTTTCATTTCCATGTGCTTATGAACTTCTTGAAGCTCATATAAATGAAAATGAAAGATGCTAAGACATAGGCCAGTAGCTTTTGGTAAGCTCCACCCCAACTCCCACCCACCCAAATGCTGCTGAACTTGTCATTATACTCCTAATACTTGATAATTCTTTGACCTTGTAAAAAGAACTTGAGTTCTATCATGAGGCCACCAAGTTTCTTTGACAGTCCCAACAACATAAGACTACAAAAGAAGCAAAAAGCATGGAAAAAGATGTGTGAGATTTAACAGACTGTTTACACAGTTTAACCAGGATTGATGGGCTAACCTTTGTAATGGACAGCTCCTTGAAAACAAAGCAGGAAACTCCACTGCTTGCACTTAAGAAGTCCAGAGAGTATCAAAAGTTGTCTTCTCACAGTTGAAATCTTCTGAGTTTTATCTTCCTGTTTTGACGGGTGGTCTTGACGAAAGGCCTGTGGAGTTATAAATTATCCCATTACTCACTCTCTCAGGTAACCCTACGGGAACAGGAAGGAAGTAAATCTTGCAGTCCTGAACTTACATCCCTTAATCATACACACGCATGCCCTCCAAAGCCATAAATCACCAACTCTCATCGTAGCACCATGATTCACACCTGAAACAGAGCAGAGAGCACAAGTATTCAGAAACGCCAGGTCCAGAGGAAGGTATCTTAATACATGACAGATAATAATGCTTGGGTACACCAGTGTTATCTTCCCTCAAGCAGATATCACATCAGCAAGTGTGGCGTTCTAATCAAGGGTCATCAGCTGTGTTAAAGGCAAACTGTACAGAGAGCAGAGCTCTCCAAACAAAACATTGCAGGACTCAGCACCCTTTCTGAGCCTTATTAAACCCAAACATCCATATCATGCTAACCCATGTGGGCATGACTTTAACTAGAGGAATTGGCCCATTGTTGCATCAATTTTCCTCTAATTAGCTCTGCAGGGCAAAAACAAGACCCATCATATGTTTTCAGTTGCTATGTCATTTTATAGAAAGGGTTCACGTGAATTTACGCAGCAGTGGTTAAGAATCAAAACACACCACGAATCCTGAAGGAAACTATCTTCTTGGTTATTGGATTTTCTAAAACTGTGTGCACATATACTACACCTTGCACAAAGGCTTTTGATCGTCAAAGAGCCTTCCTTTATTTTGATTGCAAATTTATTTTGATTGCGAATTGTTCTCAGGTTTATGTGAAGTTTTAGGAGTTTGGAGGGATTTTCCTACTCAGTATGCAACTGCATTGCTTCCACTGGTCTTGCTGTGGAAAGCCAGGAACAGACGTGCATGCTCAGTACTTTAAAACACAGTTAAACTCTCTCTAGCTGGGGAGATAAGAGTATCAACTCCCGCTTGCCAAGTAAATGCTGAAGGAACGGGCCAAATGATGGAAAATACCTCCCCTGCAAGCCCTGCTCAAGCTTCCTGTGGACGTGCACCGTTCCTGCTCTGTGCCCCTCACGAGGGCCAGCGCGCGTCATGAACTCTTCCATCAGCTCGGGACCAGCAGGACACGCGTGCAGTGGTCTCTCAGCGCCTGCATTTCAGAGACTGATGAATGGATGCTAATAAGGGCTCTGCCTGCAAGACTGACTTTCAGGATTTGACTCTCTGACCTTAATTTTGCATCATTCAAAATGCAAAGCTAAGGCTCACGCTGCATGAAGAAATGACACTTTTCCAGCAAGAAGCAGAGGGGGCTGACAGGCGATTGCTGGAACTGCTTTTCAGCAAAATGGCTGCCTCAAGGATTAGGCTCTGAAATGGCTGAGAACAGGGATTTGCAACATGAAGAATGACACGAATTCTTGACAGCTGTGAATATATACATAGGCGAAAAGCATCTTTCGAATAAAAACCATTGTGGTGCATTTAAAGGGAGTAATGTCATTGATAACAGTTTTTTTTGTTTTTCAATGCTACCACACTTTTAACGTTGTTTTATTTTATTTTATTTTTTATTGATTGTAAGGGCTTTCTAATAAGATTATATGCTCTACATTGTAGGGCCTAAAGCTCTTTGCATATAAATGAGCAGTGGTCTGCTCACCTTTCAGTACAGGAATCTCTAACCCAGAATCCATCAGCATTTTATTTTTTAAAAGCAGCAGCAGCAGTATCTCCTTTGACTTTGGGGTTGTGCTGTGGAAGCACACGCGCGTGCGCACACACACACGCACACACAATACACTTTTCTCCAATAAGCCTATACTAACTAGTATCTGGCATCCATAATCGAACATACAGCCATAATACGTTCTTAACAAAAGGAACCCACCGCAATGAGCATTCCACCACAAAGAAACACATTCAGCTTACCAGTGCCATGAATTACTTTTTGGATGACAGATTTTTTTTTTTTTTTAATCACACTTGCGTTATGTTTTACCTCTAGCTTTAAAACGGTGCAAATGGAAGGAAAGTGATCTAAGTAAACATTCCCCTGACTCTCATCAGGGTTAGGAGAATGTTATTTTAGACCTAAAGAACAATGCAATATAAACCACAGATGCTGGTGCTTGTCAGAGATGAAGTGTCCAAAGATTAACCCACAGCAACCCATCCCTGCGCTGCATTCCAGGGGCACTTAAATGTGAACACAGGGAAGACGCCTTTAGCTAAAAATGGAGATGTCAGGCAGCTGCATGTCAGACTTTAAAAATGATCTTTGGGAAATCTCAAGGGCTTATGCTACCCTAAAATTGCAAATACTGACATCCTTTTTTTTTTTTTTAAAGCAATACCAGTAAACCACACTCAAGGTCAGAAAAAGTCTACTTGGCCACCTGAATAACTCTGCCATATTTGGTAGTCAAAATTAAAAGGCAGAGAGTTAAAAGTAGTAGTTAAATGCTAGATTTCCATTTGAAAACTTAAAATCGGGGCAGGACATAAACCAAAATAAGGACAAGTCATTTAATGGCGTTTAGTCAGCTCCCTTGTTAAATATACACTGATTCATACAGACACTCAAAAAAAGAGTACTAAAGTTAACAAAGATGGCAGATGTCACAAACAGGCATGTTTATGGAGCCATTACCTAGATATAAAACAGTCACAGAACTGTGAGGTCTGCCTCAGGTAGGCTAAGAGATCCTTGAACAGCGTTAAAACAGTAAAGCATATGAAGACGCACACATAGCGAGGAGGGCAGTCAGCAAAATGTCACTAAATTATATCCTTACAGCTCTGTCCTGCCTTGACGACGCATCCCCTTCAGATACACACACGCACCATGCAGAATGCAACCAGAAAGGGCTCTCCAAGTCTGCAACCAAAATGACAGCCCAGAAGGTTGTGGGTTTTATAAATGGTAGTTTGAGACTTAGGTTTAGTTTCTCTGTCTAAATAAAATATCCATGGAAATGTTTGCCTGACACGATGGAATCACAGAAAAGGAGATTTACAGACCAAGGGGCTCACCAATTTCTTCTGATCAAAAGTAGTGAGAAGACCAACTGGTTCACAAGCCCTTTTAGCTGCCACTTGATTACTTGCAGTGAGATATAAAGCTGGGTTTATTGATTTACTGGGAAACGTTTCCCATATCAAGTTCAGCAGCTGAATAATGAACCATGGATATTCAACTGCAATTACAGAAAAACAATGCTCCAAAGCATAAAATCATATTTCCAACATGAGACACTTAAAGGAGAAATCTGGAGGAGAAGACAAAGAGAAAAACCCTGCAGAGGAGAGACTGAAGTTTTTCATTACCCTCAAGGTATTGCTTAGGATGAATGAAGCTCAGATTGCAAAAATGAGGGCCTCTCTGGCATTCCATCTTGCAGGTCCTAACATGGATACAGCCAAACAGCCCAAGCAAACCGCTTCTGCAAACTGACAAATTTACCATGGTTTACTGATGAGTGCTCTGTATCAGTATCCTACATATACATGAGTATCAAATATACATATATGTTATTTTAAATCCACCACAGAGGTAGTGAATTAATTAAGAATTATATGGCAGGGCTGGCATTGTGGCACAGGGAGTTAAGATACTGCCTGCACTGCCAGCATCCCATATGGGCACTGGTTTGAGTCCTGGCTGCTCCACTTCCAGTGCAGCTCCCTGCTAATGTGCCTGAGAAAGCAACAGAGGATGATCCAAATGCTTGGACCCCTGCCACTCTTGTCTAAGACCCAAATGGAGTTTCAAGTTCCTGGCTTCAGCCTGGCCCAGCTGGAGCCACTGCAGCCATTTGGGGAGTTAAACAACGGATGCAATCAATCAATGAATCAATCAATCTCTCTCTCTGTTACTCCCCCTCGCTCTAACTCTGCCTTTCAAATAAATAAATCTAAAAAAATTATATGGGGAAGCATAAATGCATAAATATGTCTTTGTATCTCTACCCAACTGGATAACAAGAAGCTCCTGGAGCTGAAAAGTTCAGAGACAACTTGCTATCCCAGAGCCTTAAATCCATATCTTATGGCAGTATCAGATGAGAAAATGAAGAGGGGCACTTCTACTCTTGAGGACAGAGCCAGAGGCTGGTATTGTGCAGAGGGTTAAGCTACTGCTTGCAATGCTAGCATCCCACTTTGGGGTATTGGTTCACGTCCCAGCGCTGCGCTTCTGATCCAGCTTCCTGTTGATGCATCCTGGGAAGGCAGAGGAAAAGAGCCCAAGTGCTTGGGTCTCCTATGTGGGGGACCAGGGTGGAATTCCCAGCTCCTGGCTTCAGACGGCCCAGTTGTGGCTGTGGTGGCCATTTGCAGAGGAGATGGAAGCTCACTTTCTCTCACTCTGTCACTCTGCCTCACTAAATAAATAAATATCATTAAAGAAACAAACAACAAAAAAATGGAATAGAACCAGCAACTCCTGTCCTCCTAGGAAAGCCTTGGCTCATGCAAACGTGCTTATGCATTTGGTATGTTTGTGCAGTTTGCCAGTTCGCTAGGTTTGACTCCAGTAAGATGGCTGAACATTTTGTTGATTCACAACAACTCAAGGCCTAAATGCCACATTAAAGTAACCTGACCCCAGCTGAGTGATAAAATAGAATGAACCAAGTACAAAGTCAAAAAGGAAATAAAATCTCCTAAGAATTCTACAAACCTTTGTATATATCCTCTACTATAACAGCTAGCTGTATCCCTAGCATGATTCAATAAATGTCCACAATTGTTACTAAAAAACCAGGTGCTTCAGGTAAAGGCCCAATAGTAAAGCTCAAGTTCAGTTAACCTTTGCTTTGAACATACGTTTGTGATGAGCTTGAAACGCTTCTGGTGATAGTCTCTGAAAACAAAACAAAAAGACAATACAAGACCACCACCACCACCACCCCCAAAAAAAACTATTACTGAGGACAGGAACACTATCAGGAATGCTTTTTGGGAAAAGATTTATTTATTTATTATTTATTTGGAAGGCAGACACACAGAGTGAGAGGCACAAACAGAGATCTTCCATTCACTGGTTCACTGTCCAAATAGCCAGAGCTGGGCCAAGCCAAAGCCAGGAGCCAGAAACTCCATCCTGGTCTTCTACATGTATGGCCAAGGCCTACGCACCTAGACCACCATCTGCTGCTTTCTTAGGTGCATTACCAAGAAGCTGGGTCAGAAGCAGAACAGCGAGACTCC